CCTTGATTTCTCTCTTTCCAACTCGCCCAAATTCTCCAAAGTCCGAAGTAAAAATTATGAAACCCTTTGAAATTTCGCGAAGGAGAAATAAAACCACCACTGGATCAATTATTTCCGCATATGCGGCTCCTTAGCCGCATCTGCGACTTCCGCTTTTTGCGGTTAAGTGTCGCCTTCTGCGTTAATATAAACCGCTTCTGCGGTCACCAATCCGCTCATGCGGCCACCGCTTCTGCGGATCGAGCTCCGCCATTAGCGGATTCCTTTAAGATCACCAAACTCCGCATCTGCGGTTGCTTTGTCGTATCTGCGACTCCGCAGATGCGGTCAACGCCAAACCGCTTTTTGCGATCCCTGCCGCTTCTGCGGCTAATACCTCGCTTCTGCCGGTACCTTTCTGCGGTCCAATTTCCGCGAAGCGAAATACCAGAAAGCAGCTGCAATTTTCTTAAGTTCTCAAACCAAAACTTTCTCGTTGACCATCCGAAATTCACCCCCGAGGCCCCCGGACCTTAGCCAAAAGCACCAACACCTCCCTATAACATCATTCAAACTTATTCCAATCATAAAAACAACCTCTAAACACACTAAAACCATCATTTCTCATCGAATTCAAGGCCTAAGGTTTCTTCCAAAACTTCCGAAACACGCATTCGATCACAAACCCAAACCAAAACACCTCCGAATGACCTGAAATTTTGCACACACATCCCAAATCACCTAACGAAGCTACTGCCACTCTCGGAATTCCATTCCGACCCTCGGATCAAAATCTCACTATCAACCGGAATTCGCCAAAATTCTAACTTTGCCAATTCAAGCCTAATTCTACACCGGACCTTCCGAAATTACTTCCGATCACCCTCCTAAGTCACAAATCATCCCCCGAAGCTAACCGAATTCATCGGGAATTCATATCCGAACCCTCTAACACATAAGTCAACGTCCGGTTGACTTTTTCCAAAACAGACCTTCCTTAAAGAGACTAAGTGTCTCATCTCCTACTAAAATCAATCCAAATCAACTCGTTCACACCCAACACTGATAATGAAGCATAAAGAAGAGCAGAAAAATGGGGAACGGGGCGGTAACACACGTGACGACGGGTTGGGTCGTCACAATTTTTATTCGATTTTTAAACTCTTTTGTAATCTGGACAAACATAGACGTGTGCCCTATATATTGCATATATTCTAAAAGAAATTCGCTTTATTTTATCTAGCTATAGTGTTTTAACGTACTATAATTATATGATTTTAAATGTGAAAGGATTTTATAGTTATATGCAGTAGTTTTTTTTTCTTTTCTTTTTTGCCAGAGGCGAAGTAGTATTTAAATAATTAAAAATAATAATAAAAGTTCCTAACATGATTGTATATGATCATTAACCTAATTAAGTATGATAACATGATAACAAAAGATAAATTTCTTTTTTATTTTAATTCAAATTTAAAAACTTTATCTATAAAGTCAAAATTATACTTTAATTCAAATTCAGTTACCAAATAGAATAAAGTTACCATTTACTATTGGCAAATATTAGCTTGCCACTTGGCTTAACCACAATACCAATTATATATGGTAACTTTATTCCTTTAGTATATACTAGTATTATCACCCGCGCGAATGCGCGGACACTAACCATGTAATATATTAGAGCTATTTGGATTATACGTAAATAATCTTAAAACTTAAACTTTCTCTATTAAATATAGATAATTATTGGATATTAATTAAGAAACACTACATGAAAAAGATTAACCATTTCTCAAATTTCCTAGATATAATTCTATTTTTCTTTTTTGATATCATTCTCCCCGGTGTCATTGGATCCTAAAATTAGTCGGGAAGCAAATAATAACTAAGTAATATTTATGACAAAACAATCAAAGGTTGAGACTATGAAGGACTCTTTGGATACGACTTGACTCTTTTACTACTACTTGAACTCTTATTTTGTGTGTTGATATCTTTCAAAAATTATTTCTATTTTTAAAATTTCAGTTTTCTAAAATATTATTTTTAAATAATAATTTATTTTTATAATAATGTTAAGTGAAAATATTATCCTTAATTCAAAAACTCATTTTAGTCGGCTTATCTAAAAATTTAAAAATTGTTTAGCCAGTAAATTTTTGACTCCATTTTGATATTTGAAATTAACCATATTAAATATCCGAGTTATTTGAATGATATGTAAATAACCTTAAAATTTAAACCTTCTAGATAGTCGTTAGATATCAATTACGAAACAGTACAATGAAAAAAAGACTAACATTTTCTCAAATCTCGTAGTGATAATTTTATATTTTTGCACCATTCTCATTGGTGTCATTGGAAACCTAATAATAGCCAAAAAGTGAAAATAATAACTCGTATTTATGTCAAAGCACAAAGGTTGACACATATGAACGATTCTTTGGTTACGACATGACTCTTTTACTACGACTTGAACTCTTTTTGTTCTTTGAATCATTAAATGTTAATTAGTTGACTGTTATTATATAACATTGCATATATTGTCTTGAAATTTGCCAAGTGATTTTTTTCGACACCGTACTTGGCTTAACCTCAATGCAAACTACTCAAATTGCATTTATATTCAAATTCATATATCATATCAGTTTGTTAGTAATAGTATTTTTTTTTATTTTTAAAAAACACAATGTTAGTTAAAAAAATATTCTAAGATATCCTTGTCTTATAATCTATGCATTTGAGTTGAAAAAAATATTTAAATCGAATATATCAATTTCCAATTATTTTTTTATTACTTAACATAAATGAAACAAAGAAAAAAATTCGTTGTCATCTCTTATTTCTGGTTTTAGATTTTTCATACATTTTTTATATATTTATTTTCTTTTATCTTATTTTTTATGTCTTTCTTCTTTCTTTTTTTTTTTTACAAAAAATTAATTTATTTCTATATAAAAGGATGATATCCATATATAATATGTGTATAATCGTCCGTTGCCAATATATCATCTATGGATATTAGCTATAAAAAGTAAACAATAAATCTGGCCAGATATTTATGTAAATATTCCATAAGATTTCGGTTCTTGATTTTATCCGTGATATGACTTCTATTATAATAATTTAAAAACTCTACCTAAAATTCAAAAATATCTTATCCTTTTATTTTTACATTATATTTTAAAAAAATAATCCCATTTTGAAATAATTTGTTTACATTTTAAGAAAAATATTTCATGTCATACCAGTTTTTTTATTATTAAAATATTACTTTTTGTTACACTTGAAAATTGCTATAGAAACTATCAATTAGAAACCAATATCCCTCTTGTTGAATTTGAGAAAAAATAACTTTTCACATAATCTAATGATTCAAAACTGATATTCTTCAACAAAAAAATATTAAACCCTTGCAATGCTGGCTTGATTGCAGCTACATGAAGAGGTTTCAGCTTATACCCTTCAATTACTAGTAGGTGCTAAATTAAAATTAATGATAGCAAATGCAGAGCCAAAATTTTGTTATTTGTTTGATGTCCATTTATATAAATTGACTCTTCAAACAAACGTTTTCAAAAAGGAAAAAAATTAATTTTTTTGAATATTGATTGATTTTTGTGATGTTTCTTTCTCCATCATCAAGGTTTACTTCATTATATATGTAAGTAAACTTTTATTCGATTTTTAAACTCTTTTTTGTTATCTGGATAACCATAGACGTGTATCCTATATGTTACATTTATTTTAAAAGAAATTCGACTTATTCAAATCTAGCTATATTGTTTTAAAGAACTATAATTATATGGTTTTAAATGTGAAAGAGTTTTATAGTTATATGGAATAGTTTTTTTTCACAGGCGCAGTAGTATTTAAATAATCAGAGAAGATAACAAAAGTTCCTAGCATGATTGCATATGATCATTACCGAATTAAGTATGATTTGACCAAAAAAAAGTTAAATTTCTTTTTTTATTTTATTTTAATTCAAATTTAAAAACTTTATCTATAAAATCAAAATTATTCTTTAATTCAAATTCAGTTTTTATATATATATATATATATATATATATATATATATATATATATATATATATATATATATTATATATATATTACATTATATATATATATATATATATAATAATATATATAACATAGTAAAATATAGAATAAAATTATCATATACTATTTGCATTTATTAGCTTGCCACTTGACTTAACCACAATGCAATTATATATGGTAGCCTTCTTGCTTTAATATATATATAGATATTGATATATAGATTTGAAATCAAGTACACTTAAGGAAGATAACATAGTCCCCATAGAAATGACCTAGTGGTTGAGATATGAGAGTAACAATTTGGTCGGGATGCTGGTTGCAAACCTTGGTGTGAGCTCATCTACTCTGATTTTAGTGAACAATATTAATAGGCAAGCCATACTTCTGAACCAAACAAGCTGCCTAATAAATTAGGTCTTTTTATGCAAATGTCCCCTTCTTAGGCCATTGTTTGATTTTGTCCTTATTCTTAAAAAGACTAAAAATTTAGCACTTTGAAAAATTATTTATTTGGATAATATTAGACTCGGGGTACAATATTTGCTCATTAAATTTTTATTTTGCTAACAAAATATTAGACTATGATCTAATAACTTTTCATAAGATATTTTAATTATTTAATTGTATTTTAACAAGTCCATCAATTGCAAGAAAAATAAAAGGATCATTTACTAAAACAACCTATGTACAAAAAGGGACAATCGGCAAGAATCCCACGGGATCGCATAAGCTAATCACCCTAATAAAAACAAACAAAATTTATAAATGAGGCTTGCATGGATTAGAGTTTTGATTAAACCATATATATAATGTCAAGAAAAAATTTAAGTCAAAATGAATACTAAAAGACAAAGTTAAGTCGTCAGTAACAGCAATGGCCGTTGCGTAGGAAAGGCATAGCAGCAGCCCATTTCGCTATTCCCAAGATTCCCTCTTTTCTTTGCAAAACCCACATCCGATCCTTCTTTTACATTTATTTATTTAATCCCCTAAAACCCCATTTATTATATATAGTACCCATTTCTCTCTCTCTTTAACTTCTGTATTGAGTATTGACTATTGCTCTGTGATCTTTCTTTCTTTCTTCTAGGAGCACCAATCTCCTAGAACCCTTTTAGTTTCAGCTTTCAAGTTTTCGTTTTTTTCTTTGTCAACTTACACATGGGGGATCACGGAAAGGTCAAATCGGACATTTCTTTTGCTGGAACTTTTGCTAGTAGCGCCTTTGCTGCTTGTTTTGCTGAGGTATATTCAGATTTCAGTAACCCAAATGCTGATTTTACTATGTTTCTTCAATTTGGTTTTATGCAGATGCATTAGAGAATTAACAAGTTAGTTTCTTTCTTGCTTTTTTTTTTTGCTTCTCTCTTTTTGGGCTGCTTTAGTTTCTTGAATCTTTGTTATGTATGCTGCAATGATTGAAACTTTTGACTAGACATGGGTTGTTTTTTTTCTCCGAGTGGGGTTGGGTTAGGGGGGGGGGGAATTGATCTTCCGTTGAGGGCCTAAGGGCTTTGGTCAAGTGGTATGACCCAATTTCTGATGTGTGGGTTAGGCATACTTCAGGAGTTGGAAATCTGCTTCTGACAAAAGCATGGTATTTAAGTAAGAAAAGGTAGAAGGCCAGGCCCGTTATCCACCGAGTTTGAACCGCTGGGAGATTTCTCGATTGTAGGAATAAAATGAAAGATCCCCATTAAGCTGTTAAGTTTCTTAGCTTATGACTGTTGAATCCTTATTGGGTTACTTTGATGGACAACTTGAGTTTTGTTTTGACTTCCTGGTGCTGTCTTTCTAAAGATGTATAAGTATGTCTGTGTTAAGAATAAGCTGGTTCAGCATACTGAGCTTGATTTGATCTGTCTTCATTTAAATGATCTATGATCACCTTTAGATAGCATCTGTTAGAAAGGAAAAGCCAAATGACCTTGAGACACGGCTGTGGTGGTACAAAAGCAATTTCTATTCATGCTTCGTAGCTTTAAAAAAATTCACTTATCAAAGAAGTGGGAGGTAACCATGAGATCTCTAGTTCAAATCCCAACGGAGGCAAGACACTTGGTGGCCTAAGCTTTGGTGGGTAGAGTACCTTGGAGGTAGCAGGTACCTGGTGGAATGGTCGAGGTCCGTGCAAGCTGGCGCGGACACCATCATTATTAAAAAAAACTGGCTTTCATCATGTAAATAGTTTAAGATAACCATGTCTAGCTTAATTTTGAAGGGAATTGGGTGTTTTTGCTTTTTATGAAGCTATAGAAGTGGGTTATACAATGTTTTCGTGGTGCCTTAAAAATTCTCCAAAGAACAGTTAGCCTTGATCATTTAAGTGTTTTGCGAAGAATCTTGTATTGCTCAAGGTTGTTGGAAAGGAAGCTTGTTTAAGTTTTGTTGCCATTTATTTGGTCATCCAGTGTATATGATGTAGACATGTAGTACATTGCTCTCGAAGTGTTCATGCTATGCTATCGTTTCTGTAAATGACTCCTTCACTGCTTTGTAAATCTTGTTTTCTTCATACAAAATTCTATTCCAGGTGTGTACCTTACCATTGGATACTGCTAAAGTTAGGCTTCAGCTTCAAAAGAAGGCTGTTGAAGGGGATTTATCTTTACCGAAATATAGGGGATTGTTAGGTACTGTTGGCACCATTGCAAGGGAAGAAGGAGTAGCTTCATTATGGAAAGGTATTGTACCTGGGCTACATCGTCAATGTTTATTTGGAGGTCTTCGGATTGGGATGTATGAACCTGTAAGTTATCATTTCAAGTTTGCAATCACTACAAGTTTATTTTTGTGGTTTTTGCCCTTTTATGGACTGTTTGCTTGGCAAGCAGGTTAAAAACTTTTATGTTGGTAAAGATCATGTTGGGGATGTGCCATTGTCAAAGAAAGTTCTTGCTGCACTTACAACTGGTGAGTGCCTTCTCAGATGTTCTGTGTTTGTTATCACTTTGCTCAAGAGTTTAGACAGTGGAGCTTTTATTTCCATTCGTACAGGGAATAGAAGTTCAATGTTTGGATTATCAATAGCATGCGTTCTGTTTTTCCTTGTATTGGTCTTTTTACTGTTTGTTCTTTCAATATATTTAAAGTAATTTGGTAAATCTTTATCAAATAGGTGCATTGGGCATTACAATTGCAAATCCTACGGATCTAGTCAAAGTACGTCTTCAAGCTGAAGGAAAATTACCAGCAGGTGTGCCAAGGCGTTACTCTGGAGCTCTAAATGCTTACTCAACAATAGTTAGACAGGTATATGTCTTATCCAGCTCAGTTCTTTGATAAATCATGAAAATTGATGATAGGCAGGGCTGCAAAATTGAGTACACCTACTTTGATCATGAGTTGGAAGTTATTTGTCCCTTGAACTGAAATTAGGTGCTACTTAATCGATTAAATCCTTATTACTATTCAAAGTCTCATAATCTGTCCAAGCAAGTGGGCACGCGAAAAAAAAAAAGGAAAACAAGTGACCTACAAAATATGTGCCTTAAGGAAGTGGTAACATTTACAAACTATTATTTCCCTAGATTTTGGAGGCAAAATTTCTTAAAGATTCTTTAGTTCGACTATCTTCCGTTCTGATTCTTTGTTCGACTCTCTCCTTAACCATCTAACTTTTATGTATTCATTTTATCCTCTTCAGTTTTTGGAGAAGAAGGGTAGTAGTTTTCTTCTCGATGTATTTCCCGTCCTCCTGGAAATTTTATACATGCTTGAGAAATTATGAAAATTTCCATTGCATGAAATTTAATCAAATCCCCTGGGCTCCAGCTTACTGGAGCATTTGTAAAATACAGGTTCTGCAAGTGAAAATTTGAGGCAACTCATTGTTGAGTAATAGTTTTCCTTGCGAAAAAGACTCCTTTTTAAACTCTTATCCTAACCTCTTCGCATCTTGTTTCTACCACATTTTTATCTTAGGAAGGAGTTGCAAAGCTGTGGACTGGTCTTGGACCCAATATTGGGCGAAATGCCATCATTAATGCAGCTGAATTAGCAAGTTATGATCAAGTGAAGCAGGTGAGAAACCATAAATTTCTTAAATACCGCCTCATTTTCCTGACTGTTTAATATGGTAGCTTTCTTGGATCTCGATGTTTACATTATCATTCCTCTTACTTTTCGCTCTTTAAAATGCAGTCCATTCTCAAGATTCCTGGGTTCACAGACAATGTTGTTACGCACTTGTTCGCTGGCCTTGGAGCTGGTTTTTTTGCAGTTTGCATAGGGTCCCCTGTTGATGTGGTATCTTCTATATTCTTTGTTCTTTATACACTTGCTTTCTTTTTGCTTTTAGGTCCTTTCTGACGGCAACCCATGATCCAGTAATTTGCTTGTTAATATTTTAGATCTTCTTTTCCAAATAGGGAAAAGGTGACTCCGTATAGTCAATCTTTTTAATGAAGGAAGAAGAGTCGATATCTAGCCTGTTAGAGAGATGCCTCCATCTTGTGAATCTGAAGTCCTCTGCTCTTGAATTTTGTATATATGTTATTTTTCAAGGCTTCTAGTGCTTGAACAAGAATAAAACTCTAGTTTGTTTTGGGGTAAAGAGAGGAGGCGTTAGAGGAGTAGAAGTTAGGTGTAAGGGGATGTTTTGTAATTAGAAGAGGATGTCAAGTAACAAATTATAATAATAAAGAGGGCTAATCCGTCCAAAACTGGGTGGAAAGGAGGAAGCATGTCACTTTTACCAAACAATCGTAAGTAAATATAGAGAATTCACTTGGGGGAGGTAAACCAATTGGTTTTTCTTTTCTTCGCTCTTCCCTTCCCCTTCCTGGAACGAAACATAGCATAACTGGGATCAATACTGATATCCTGTTACTTGGTCAGTTGGTTGCATATGATGGTAATACCAACTTTTTTAATTCCTTCTTTTAAAAAAGGGCAGTCCGGTGCACTAAGCTCCCGCTATGCGCAGGGTCCGGGGAAGGGCCAGACCATAAGGGTCTATTGTACGCAGCCTTACCCTGCATTTCTGCAAGAGGCTGTTTCCACGGCTTGAACCCGTGACCTTCTGGTCACATGGCAGTAACTTTACCAGTTACGCCAAGGCTCCCCTTCTAAAGAGAGTAATGCGGTGAACGTGGATTGAACACGTGACCTTCAGATCTTTAGTCTGTCGCTCTCCCAACTGAGCTATCCCCGCTTGTTAAAAATGGCAGCCCGGTCACTAAGCTCCTGCTATGCGCGGGGTCAGGGAAGGGAAGGACCACAAGGGTCTATCGTACGCAGCCTTACCCTGCATTTCTGAAAGAGGTTGTTTCAACGGCTCGAACCCGTGACCTCCTGGTCACATGACAGCAACTTTACCGGTTATGCCAAGGCTCCCCTTCTTTTAAATTCCTTCTTTTAAGGTTGCATTATCAGTAGACTTCATAAAATTCTATTAGAGTAACTTTCTGTTGATTATTCTTGTATAGCCATGAAGCCACTGACACGGTAAACTGGATGCAGGTTAAGTCAAGAATGATGGGAGATTCAACATACAAAAATACCCTTGATTGTTTTGTCAAAACATTGAAGAATGATGTGAGTTCATCATCTGTCCTTTCTCATTAGTTGTTGAAGAATCCAGCCATTTTGCAGACACACATAAATTTTCTTCCTCTTAATTTTCATTTTTTACTAACTGATCTTGGCTTCTTACAAAATGAAGAACTCTTACCTAAAATAAAACAATGACCTCACATTTCTGTCAAGATAGTTTTACAATACCAAATATCAGATCCCTTTATTACAGATCTTTTTCCTTCTATCAACTTCTTGTTTGTTGTCTTGTTTTCAACGCCTGCCGATAGCAAGCTTTATGTCTAATGTCATTAAAAATGATGCTACCTTTGTGCCCTTTATGTTTTCAGGGACCTTTAGCTTTCTATAAAGGCTTTATCCCAAATTTTGGACGCTTGGGATCGTGGAATGTCATTATGTTTCTGACGTTGGAGCAGGTAAAGGGTGGAACCCTATTCCTAACAAAGCACATTCTTCTCCCTTCATAGTCAATAAAAATTTATACCAGATTAGCACATGTTGTGCTTCAGTAAGAGGCTTCCTCAATTTTTGATTGCTTCATGTTTTCACTCTTGAAAAATACATCATACAATAGTTGGCTTACCCTTTATATCTTATTTTTGGCAGGCGAAAAAGTTTGTTAAAAACTTAGAATCAGCTTGATGTGAAAGAGATGGATCATCAAGCAGAGGATTACTAATATATACATTAAACATGGATTGACTCAGCGACCATTAAAACAACGATTGTTTGCAACATCCCCTTTTTTCATTTTTCTTGAATAATTTGTCCCAACGGAGACCACGAGAACTGTGAGAGACAAAACGCAGAGGCGTTTGATAGGCTTTCCCCTTAAGTGGCCTCTTACAATTGTTGTAGACACCAAATGTTGTACCCTTCTTTCCTTTTGGTTACTAGGGGATTCTACTACTGATTTATGGCAATTGATTCCAATGACAAACAATGAAGATTCAGCTCGAGCTGTGTTTGCTTCTTGTTGACTTTTTTTTTGCTTGGTTTTTTAGGCATCCAGTATTTGGCCTAAAGAAGAATGATCACTTTTGTCTTAATATTCCAAAATTCAAACAGTCTCTCTTGCTATCGAAATCTAAAAAATATAAATTCCATTCAATAAGATTTGAATCTATACCGATATCCATCCTCCCCTTCCCACCAAATAAAATAAAAGCATAAAAAAGAAAAAAGGATTAATGCATCACTTGTTTTGGCGAAAAAATTATTGAAGTTTATTCTCTTCCCTGGGATAATTGTGTGGATAATTCTTTTGTTGATTCCCTCTAAATCCGGTGGTTCCAGTGGAGTATAGTCGCTCTCAAAATAATAGTCGAAAAATTGTATATTTTTTGTAAATGTATGCATTCTGTTATATACAAAAATTATATAAATTTTATATACTTTAGTTTTCGGCGCAGGTTAAAAGTGAAGAAAAAAAAAAAACCATTTCTTTTAGACTGAAGTTAAAGTCACATATCCTTGACATTATTCATGCTTGAATTTTCTGGAAATAATTCAAAATCTACATGCCACAATAATATTAATAGAATTACATTTTTGTTTAATGGTTGCAATTTTCTATGAAGAATCAAGCCAAATAATTTCTCATCCAACCGCTTAAACTAAAAATAGCCGGTGAAGGTATAATATATGCATAACTTATGTATTATATGTGTATAATTATGTATAATCAATGTATAAATTATGTATATGGCTAAAAAAAATAAATAATGAATATGTACGGCTATTTGTGTAAAATCTCATTTTCTATCTACATCCAAATAGTGCTATATTATTAAGGGAATTCGCTGTTCTTGCTTCGGTTTCCCCTGTTCACTAGCTTCCCGCTTCTCCCAAGAATAAAAAATGGTAACTGAATAATGCTAAGATTTTGTTGGGGAAGTGCACAAATAGTTTATACTTGTATCTAGGACCCCTAAATTAAAGAAAAGCTTAAGTTTACGAAATGTTTAAAGTTTAACCATCTCATAGTTAACTTCAAACTCATGACTAAAGTCGAAAATTTCGGACTTGGAGTTTCAAACTTTAGATATATGAGTTGAAATTGGGACTGCATCTAGTTTAAGAGCTAAATGTCTAATTGGCATATTGCGTCTACATTTTGAATTTCAGATATTTAGGTGTGAAGTTAGGCTTGATTGTTCTAAAATCAGACTCTTGCAACTCCTACACTTTGGTGGTGGAAATCATGTTAAGCTGCGAAATCGACGGTGATTTGAGAATGGATCAAGTCTAAACCCTAATCGTCTAAGTCGGTGGAAGAAGAGAGATGATAGACGACAATGTAAATAAGAGTTTTGATCCATTAATTAAAAATAGAGTCAAACTAACTCTATTTATATGTACATGTAAATGTGGCTAAAATTGAAATGGTAAAACCAATCCGGACAAGGGCCGATTCCCCGAATGTGTAAAAATAAAACTGGCCCAATAATGAGAGGCCCACTATTATTGAAATCAACCAGGATCTGGATTGTGAACTAAGGCTTTATCCCCCCCCCCCCCCCCCGCTAGAGTGTAGATTGAACACCAAGCTTGCGTAAAAGTTTGTGATGAGGAACACCAGTGAGGGCTTTAGTAAGTATATCAGCTAGTTGAGCAGAGGTAGGAACATGCTGAAGAGAAATTAGCCCGGAAGAGAGGACATCTCTAACATAATGACAATCCACTTCAATGTGTTTGGTGCGCTCATGGAGAACCGAATTTCTGGCAATATGGACAGCAGCCTGACTATCACAAAACATAGGCACAGGAGAAGTGATAGACAACCCCATATCAGCAAGAAGCCTGATAAGCCAGGAAACTTCAGGAACTACCTGTCTCAAAGCCCCGTATTCTGCTTCAGCAGAACTTAATGAAACAGTAGGTTGTTTCTTGGATTTCCAAGAAACAGGAGAGTCACCAAGAAGAATAATATCCAGTAACAGATCTCCTCGAGATAGGGCAGGCAGCCCAGTCAGAATCTGCGTAAGCCCTGAGGCTGAAATCAAGAGTGCTACTTAGCAAAATACCCTGGGCAGATCATTACCAAGGTAGCGGAGAACATGTAGAGCAGCCAACATATGAGGAACCTTAGGAGAGACCAAAATTGGCTCAAGTGTTGAATAGAGAAAGAAATCTCCAGCCTAGTATGTTGCAAAAAATTAACTTCCTAATTAACCTCCTATAAACAGAAGGATCAGAAAGTGGATTACCTGAATCAATGTGGAGTTTGTGTTGAGGATCAAGAGGAGTAGTAACAGACTTGGCATCTTGACAATGAAATTCAGAGAGGAGATCCTTAGTGTACTTGTGTTGATGCACTACATAACCACCTTCCACCAAAGAGACTTCAAGGCCAAGAAAATAATGAATAGAACCAAGATCTTTGATCCTGAATTGTTGATCTAAATAGGCTTTCAAATCTGAAATTTCTTCAACATCATCACCAGCCAATAGAATGTCATCCACGCATACCACTAAAATAACAGTGGAGGAGGCAGTGATTTTGGTGAATAAAGAGGAGTTCTTGCTAGGGGAGTAACCTTTGGAAATAAGAGATTCGGAAAGTTTTGCAAACCATTGCCTAGAAGCCTGCTTCATACCATAAAGGGATTTCTTTAACTTGCATGCTAGAGGAGGATTAGAAGAAGAAGGACCCACAGTCAACCCCAGAGGTATTTTCATGTATACCTCCTCATGAAGATCCCCATGTAGGAAAGCATTGCTGACATCCAACTGGTGGACTGCCCAACCATGCTTGACTGTTAATGTGAGAAGACACTTGACGGTTGTGATCTTGACAACTGGACTAAATGTTTCAAAATAATCTATGCCTTCTTTCTGGAATCACCTCTAATCACTAACCTTGCCTTGCATCTCTCTATTGAACCATCAGGCTTTTGTTTGCCAATTTGCATGGTATAGCTTTCTTACCTGGAGGCAATGGAACAATGTCCCAAGTTTGATTTGCCTCCAAAGCTTGAAATTCCTTAACCATAGAATCTTGCCAGGCAGGATGAGATGCTGCTTGATGGTAAAACTGAGGCTCAAGCATATGAATCTCAATAGAGGTAACCTTGGAATTTACAGGAAAGGTGGTGATGGCTGTGTAATAAACACAATCCTGAAGATAGGCAGGTTTTATAGAATCTCTAGTGGATCTCCTAAGTGACACAATAGGAGAAGCAGTAGAAGAGAAGGAGAAGAAGAAGGAAAACTGGGAGGAGGAGCATAAAAAGAAGTATCTACTGGTGAAGTACATTGAACAGCCTGAATAGGTAGTGAGGCAGAAGTTGTATTATCAGGAGAAATAGAAGAAATATTAGGTGTAGCATTAGGAGAAATGTCTGTGAAAGGATCAGAAGTAATTGGAAAAACAGAAGAAGGAGAAGGAGAATGATAAGGGAAGATATGTTCATGGAAAATGACATCTTTAGAAAATAAAATGGAATGAGATTTAAGATTGAGCAACTTATACCCTTTCTTTCCTAAAGGGTAACCTAAGAAAACACATGGAGATGATTTAGGTTGAAATTTATCCCTACACACCTATGGTAATGTAGTAAAACAAAGACAACCAAAGGTTCTAAGGTGAGAGTATGTAGAAGATTGGCCATGGAGTTTTTCAAAAGGTGACATATTGTGTAACACACTGGAGGGAAACCTAATTATCAAATAGGTGACAGTAAGAAAACAGTCACCCAAATATTTGACAGGTAGTTTAGATTGAAATAAAAGGGCTCTTGATGTTTCTAAGAGATGCTTATGTTTTCTCCCAACAACCCCATTTTGTTGAGGAGTGTGGGGAATTGTGGTTTGGTAAAGAATCCCAGAATCAGCAAAATAGGAAAAAATTTGTGCACTGGAGCCTAGCTCAAATGCATTATCAGATCTAATTGTTTGAACTTTAGAATTGAAATGAACGTGGGCCATGGAAACAAAAGCTTTGATAATGGAAAAAGCATTACTTTTGCAAGAAAGTAAATGTGTCCAGGTTACTCTTGAGAAATCATCAACAATAGTCAAGAAATATCTAAAACCATTATATGTTTTTGTATGATAAGGGCCCCATAGATCAATATGTACAAATTGAAAAGAGTGAATAGACTTGATAGTGCTATCAGGAAATGAGAGTCTTTGTTGTCTAGCTAATGGACATACATGACAAATAAAGGACTGTTTTGAAGACAACTTATCAGAAAGAACTGAGATAGATTTCATTCTATGAAATGGCATATGCCCTAATCTTTGATGCCAGAAAAGATCAGCTTTATTAATAGAGGAAACATGATTACAAGCAGTTGTACAAGCACTGTAACCACATTTAAGAGAAGAAGATATAGCTGATATGGTATTTACATGTGAATCAGACTGTCCCACAATGAGATCTAAATGAATGATGTACAACCCATTGGCAGCCCTACCAATTTCCAATGGCCTCTTCAGAGAAAGGGCATGTATACAACAAGAGATATTGGTAAAGAGGGTTGTACACAGAAATTGATCAACTAGTTGTGGCACAGAAATCAAATTGAATTGAAAAGAAGGAACTAAAAGCACATTTGCTAGAATTAGATCATTACACAGTTTTAAAGAACCAGTGAAATTGACTTTTACTTTGTAACCATTTGGTATTGTTACCAAGTAAGGGGAAGGTAATGGTTGAATATTGTGTTGGAGTTCTTTATGTGGGGTCATATGGTTAGTAGCTCCTGAATCTAGAATCCAAGTGTTGACCTTTAATTGAGAAACACAGCATAAAGCAACAGAATATACAGCAAAACTACAGAACACACCTGCAAATGCTCCCATAGCAGAAGAAACAATATTGGGATCCTGATTTGCAGGAGAATTTGAGACTGTTGGAAGAGACTTATGAGGTGTTGATATCGTTCTTTACTAAAACCATGAACTGAACTTCCAGGTAGAACCTCAGGAGTTGAGAAGGAATCAGTTTTAGGATCACCAAGCTGAACACAAG